CAAGCAACTCTCAGTTGCTTCACCTGAGCTTGAGAGCCTCCTTCAATGTTGAGCCTAGGTGCCTTACTTGCCTCACCTGAGTCTGGCCATGGTAGGGACCTAGGGCTGCTGGATCATGGGCACTTTCCCTTTCTTATTTTTCACTTGGGTATATGTTCAAGTTCCTTCCGACCCCAAATGTGGTACATGGGCCATCAGCATTATCATCACCTGGAAGCTTTTTTGATATGCAGAATCTCAGCTCTGCCCAGACCTTCTAAATCAGAATCTGTATTTTGTTTGAATCCTAGGGAATTCGTGTGCATGTTAAAGTTGGAGAAACACTGGGCTAGCAGGCACCAAGAACAGTTCCTATCTTCTTACAGAAGGAATATTCAGAGACAGCTGTTGTCATTGCCCCCACTGGGTGAGACACACACTGCCAGGGAGTAAGATGCCTGTTCTTTGTGGTCTTTGACAAGAGGATGAGCTTCAGCCAGTGAAGCAATCAAAGGTCAGCCTGATGGACGAGAAACAGGTGATTTCCTTGGAACAAAGAACAATTTGGGGCAAACTTTTATTAATTTTTAAAGATTTATTTATTTTTTTTAGAGATTGAGAGAGAGTGGGCTTGCTCTCACTCAGTGTGGGGAGGGGCAAAGGGAAAAGGAGAGAGAGAATCTCAAGCAGACTCCCTGCTGAGTGTGGAGCCTGAGGCAGGGCTCATCTCCTGATCATGAGATTCTGACCTGAGATCCTGACCTGAGCTGAAATCAAGAGTTGCTCAACCGACTGAGCCACCCAGGCACCCCTGTGGCAACGTTTAAAGAGAAGGAAAAGTTTAGTGGGTCTGAAACTGGGGAAAAGAGCAAGACAAAAGTGTTAATATTTGCAGTGCCTGGCTGGCTCAGTTGGCAGAGCATGCAACTCTTGATCTTGGGGTTGTAAGTTTGAATTCCCGCTTTGAGTATAGAGCTTACTTTAAAAAAAAAAGTGTGGGGTACCTGGGTGGCTCAGTCGGTTAAGTGTCTGCCTTCCCCTTGGGTCATGATCTCAGAGTCTTGGGATTGAGCCCTGTGTCTAGCTCCCTGCTCAGCAGGGAGTCTGCTTCTCCCTCTCCCTGCTTGTGCTCTCTCTCTTTCTCAAATAAGTAAATAAATAAATAATCTTAGGGAAAAAAGTGCTAATATTTTGACCAAGTAACTCAAGTCCCATGGGGGTGAAGAATAACTTGTTTGTTTGTTTGTTTGTTTTCTTAAGATTTTATTTATTTGTGAGAGAGACAATGAGAGACAGAGAGAGACAGAGAGCATGAGAGTCAGAGGGAGAAGCAGACTCTCTGCTGAGCAGGGAGCCTAATGTGGGACTCGATCCCAGGACTCCAGGATCATGACCTGAGCCGAAGGCAGTCGCTTAACCAACTGAGCCACCCAGGCGCCCATGGGATGAAGAATAACTTAGTATACTATAAGGTTGTTGGTTTTCCAACAGTTTTTTAAGATTATCTGTAATAAAACTGAGAATCTTGGGGGTGCCTGGTTGTCTCAGTTGGTGGAGCATATGACTCTAGATCTGGGGGTTGTAAGTTCGAGGCCCCTACTTTGGGTGTAGTGATTACTTAAAAATAAAATCTTAAAAAAAAAAACAACAAAATGGAGGTCTCTTGCTCTAGCAACAGGAGTGGGGGCACCAGACACAGGGCTCAAAGGGAAACTCCACGGATGGCTTTAAGAAAATGGCAGACAAGCCAGGCATGGGGGAAATCCCCAGCTTCCATAAGGCCAAGCTGAAGAAAACAGAGACCAGAATACCGTGTCAACCCAACAGACCATTGAGCAGGAGATGTGGAGTGAAATTTCCCAAGAACTTGGAGGATCCTCCATCCCCGTCATCTTTGAGACACTCTAGTCATGATATGGATGAAGAAGAGCCACCTGCAAGATGGACTCGAGTGAGCGACAAGCTGCACTGTGAACCCGGGCACTCTGTGCGGATGCTACTGGCCTGTGGGTCTCTCAGGAGACCCCCAATTGGACTGCCAAATTCTCCAGTTTGCCCTGGGATAGTACAGCAAATTATTTGTATGATTAATAAAAAGAACACATACTTTGTGGCAAAAAAAAAAAGACACACACACACAAAACCCACCAAACTGAGAACCTTGATTAGGTGAATTATATTGTAGTTATAACTATATGAGGACAGAGATAATACAGAATAGAAAATATAAAGGGATTGACTGTTTAGTGTTCCCATTAACCAGAAGTCAATTAATAAGGGTCCTGGATGACTCAGTTGGAAGAGTGTGTGACTTTGGTACTTGAGGTCTTGAGTTCAAGCCCCACATTGGGCGTGGAGATTACTAAAGAAAATAAATAAACTTAAAGAAAAAAGCATCCTGCAATATGCTATTCTCCATTTAGATTAAGAAGTTAGATTAAAAGAGAACAGCAAAGTAATATGTACTCCATGGCAGACATTATTGGTTGGATCACCCAATATCCATTTCACTCCCTTTCTTTTTTGCCTGCTTCCATTACAGAATATAAAAAAAGCTGAGTACTTGCTCTCCCAGGAAGGGCGGCCATGTGACACAATTCTGGTTTGAGACCTCTGTGAAGGTCTCTAGAAGCTGTATGGAGCAGCTACACTCTGACCAGAATGGATTCAGAGTGATTTTTCCAGGGTCTGGAGTAGGGTAAGGTGAGCAAGACACTTCCCTTGATATAAGATTTATGAGGGTGGCAAAAGACTCAGTAATCGAAATAATATTTTAATGCAATGTTTAAAAAAATAAAAATTAATGCAAAAGATGCATGATGAACAAAATATCAGCATTTAGAATAAAGGCAGGATCCAACAACACCAGTAGTAGAGGGAGGCAAATAAGGCCCATTCCCGTGGGTGTAGGGTCAGATCACACTCACTTCTTCCAACTCACAGTCTGGGGTGGGTATAAGTGACTGGTGGCATTTAGGTTTTGTGCCTACTTCCTGGCCACAGGGGAGTCTACAAGAGAAAAGTAGCATATTCTGGCTGAGCTATTTTGAGGAAAACCTTAGTGTTTATTAGAGTCAGGGTACAGATAAATTAATATTGAACTATAGAGAATAGAGAATGAGATACTTCTTGTGAACCTGGGAATGCTCCAAGGAAAAGATAAGGCTTCAGCTGGGGAAAGGGGAAAGCAGAAAGAACACTGGATTTGCAATCAGAAAACGGGACTCCTCTCTTTGCTGCTTGCTTTACTAGCTGTGATAATTCAGGCAAGCCACTTTGCTTCTCTGAGTGTTAGTTACTTTATGTGTAAAAACTCATCCTATGTGACCTGCCAAAGACTTGTGAGGATGAACGGAGATTAAATGAGTGAATGGGGTTTCTAAACTGAAAAGCACTATGCAAACATCTTGCACTGTTACTAAGTCATTAAGGACCAGTAAGCCTTTAACAAAAGGCATTGGGGGAGAAGGGCCTTTGGGCAGAGAATGAAGGGTGAAGTGGTTTTTGTATGAGGCGAGACAAAAGGAAACTGGGCTTTGAAGTCTAGGAAGATGAAAGCAATCAAGGAATGCCTATGTTTTTAAGACCATTAAGGAAACAAAGCCCAGGACCCCAAGCTTGAAGGGTAAAACCAAGCTCTATAGTATCCTTTTTTTTTTTTTTAAGATTTTATTTATTTATTTGACAGAGAGAGACACAGCGAGAGAGGGAACACAAGCAGGGGGAGTGGGAGAGGGAGAAGCAGGCTTCCCACGGAGCAGGGAGCCCGATGCGGGTTCGATCCCAGGACCCTGGGATCATGACCTGAGCTGAAAGCAGACGCTTAACGACTGAGCCACCCAGGCGCCCCCAAGCTTTATAGTCTTTTTTTTTTTTTTAAGATTTTATTTATTTATTTGACAGAGAGAGACACAGCGAGAGAGACAGAGAGCATGAGAGAGAGGAAGGTCAGAGGAAGAAGCAGACCCCCTGACGAGCAGGGAGCCCGATGCGGGACTCGATCCCGGGACTCCAGGATCATGACCTGAGCCGAAGGCAGTCGCTTAACCAACTGAGCCACCCAGGCGCCCCCCAAGCTCTATAGTCTTAAAATTACTCAAGAGTGAGGCACCAAACTAGCACAAAACACCATAATGAATGACTTGCACATTTTGCTTCCTACATAGTCTTTTTGAAGGCAGGCAACCACCATATCTTACTCATCTTTGTTTCCAGGAGCCTGACACTTTCTGGTCAAGAGCACTGTGCTCCATTCTCAAGGAAAGAATGAGTGTCCAAAGGCTTGGGACCTTTTACCCGGGGTTGTACAGACTAAGCAGGTGCATAGCTTTGAAAAGCAGGTTCTTCTGTGCACACTGGGATGCCCTCCTGATGGCCTGATGTTATGAGAGCTCTCCAGATCCCAAGTAAGGTGTGTTTGTCCTTACTTGAAGGAAGAGTAAGATGGGACCAAGGGCTCTAGCCGACTTATTGCTACGATAATCAAAAATCAGGGAGATGGGGGATGACGACTATACTAGTGATACAATTTAATAGAACGGATGAGTGCGAGAACGCAAGCACACACAGATGAACAAATGAGTGCATGGCAAACTGGTTAAATCTGAGTAAGGTCTGTAATCTAGTCATTTGTATTGGTCTAGTTGGTTGTACTGTGCCAATGTCAATTTCCTGGTTTTGATAATGTAGTATAGTTACGTAAGATGGTGAGGGAAGCTGGGTGGGTGATGGGTACACCGCACTTCCTTGTATTAATTTTGCAGCTTTTTGTGAGTCTATAATTATTTCCAAATAAAGCAAACACACAAAGAAACCAGAAAACAGCGGGCACCTTCCCCGAACCCAGCCTAGCCCTCCCAGAATCCGCGCCACAGCTCACACTTCTGCCCTCCATACGGCCTCCACCGCTCAGGTAAGGCGGGGAGAGTGGGTGCGGCGGGACCGCGCACGCGCAGTCCTGAAATCCCCCGCCGCGGCGCTGGGAAGTCACGCTTGCGCAGTCTTGGCCCTTGGCCGCCGCGCCAGCCCTTCTACGCGGCGGGGGACTCGGCTGCCTTGGCCCCTTCGCGCTGCCGTCTTTTCCGGCAGTTGGAGCGCTTCCTGTTGTCCTTACCCGCACCCGCCCCTCGGCCCCTGCCTCAGAGACCCTAACGCGTCCCTGTCCTCTTCTCTGGTCGACGGGGTGCTGCCGCTGGGGTTTCGCCTGTCCGCCCGTCGAGAGAGGTCGCTGGCCCGGCCGGCGTCTGCGGCTGTCCGCCGCCCCCAGCTCTTCCTCCCCCGGGGCTCTGGTGAGTGTCTTGCTGCTGCTGTCTTCGGTCCATCCCAGTCTCTCCCCCTCATCTCCGCCCGTCTCTTTTTGGGGTTCTCCCTTCCCGCCGGCGCCCTCTTACCAGCCCTGTCCTGACGGCCCCTCTGCCGCTCTCCTCAGCCTACTGACAGCCCCCGTCCTCCTGGTTTTCAGAAGCTCCGCTGTCGGTCCTCGCCACACTTCCCCAGTCTCAGGCTCCCCACCCCATTCTTTCTTTCTTTTTGTGCAGTTGGGGCGGGGAGCCGGGCTCTCTTCTCTTTTCCATGTTGCCAGCTTTGTCTGCTCGCCGCAGCCGCTTAAGTCTCCTCGGGGATCTCAGTCGTACTGGTTTCCATCTCTTTTCTTTTTTTCTGGGGTCTGAGAACCTAAGAGCTGTTGTTTGAGGCAGAGACGTGGAAAGCCCGTCTTGGGGTGTGGTTCCTTTGAGTCGGCCCCTTTCCCCATGGCTAGTCTTAGAGTACTGGGCTTCAGATAATCTTAAAATCACAGGAAAATTGAGTGACGATTTTTTTTTTTTTTTAAGAAAAGAGTGGGAAAGGAAAGTCGATAAGGACTTAGAGGAAGTCTGTGTCAGAAAGTGTGCAGAAACAGCTAGTAGGGAGATCAGATCTCCCAGTTTGCACTTTGAATTGACTAAAAGACACAAAGAGAAACTTATCGGTTTTGAAATGTACAGAGGAAAGTTGAAGTGAGGTAAACCTTGTGCTTCCTCTCCCTTTCAGCTCACCTTGGTTCCGAATTAGAATTAGCTAGGCAGTAGATGTCGTTTCCCTAAATATAAAACAAACACCACGATAACAGGCTCCACTCATAAGAGGACCAGAACTCTATCCTCCAACTTTGTATAGAAAACCACTTCACCTCCCAGCTCTATCCCAATCATACATACATATTCTCAGTTCCTAGTAATGGTCAGGAAAGATGAGTGCTTTCTCAGTAAATCTTTTATAAGGTCCTTACTACGTGCATAGCATTGTGCATGAGATGGGAGAAGGATATTAAAAGTAGTGTAAGACAGGTGCTTGCTTTCCCATGGCTTACAGCTCAGGAGGAGAAATTAAGATATGTGATTTTTAAGGAATGATATCCGTGTTCATTTACCCAAATGAAAGATACTGGATTGTCAGTCACAAAGACATAAATAATTGGTGAGGGAAGGAGTATTCATAGAGATAACAGTACCATTGTAAAGTCAATCAATCAAGGATAACCATCTAGGTTGAATAAAACAATGGTTTTCATTTAATCTACTTTTATGTTTGCAGTACCTTTGAAGATCACATTCTTTTGTTAAATTTTTAGAACTTTTAAGAATTTCTTACCTACCTATTCCCTTATTCTGCAGAGATGGAGAATGAAATGAATAGGGAAGGGGCCTCCGGTGGCCTGTAGGTCAGGGCATGAAGGCTTGAATTATCAAAAGTGTGAGGAAAGCCCTGTGTTATAAAAAGTACTTGGTAGACCCGGTAAAACTATAAATTGCTATAGGGCAATAGTAATTTTATCTTTTGATGAAAGGTTATTAGAATAGGCTAAGCCTTTTATGAGTGGAAGAAGGGAAGGAGGAGGAAGTTCTGAAGCAAGAAGGATAGTGCAACCTTTGCCATTACATTAGAGACTATGTGAAGGTTGAAAATCATCCTGCTAGGAAATTTGTTGGTCTGTTACGTGAGCATCTTTGAGTACACTTAATATCCTGTTGATCTTTTTAAAAGCTTAGAAAGCGGGCGCCTGGGTGGCTCAGTTGGTTAAGCGACTGCCTTCGGCTCAGGTCATGATCCTGGAGTCCCGGGATCGAGTCCCACATCGGGCTCCCTGCTCAGCAGGGAGTCTGCTTCTCTCTCTGACGCTCCCCCCTCTCATACTCTCTATCTCATTCTCTCCCTGTCTCAAATAAATAAATAAAATCTTTAAAAAAAAAAAAAAAAGCTTAGAAAGCCATGCCAGTGACTTAAATGAGTAAAAACGTTCCACACCTCAGTATTTATATACTTATCAATGTAAATATAATTTTGTTCTTTAGTTGACAACTAAAAAATCATTAACTTGCTCAACTTACATTTATTAACCACCTATTATATGAAAGGCACCGTTTGTCTTAGGTTTAAATACTTGCATTTTTATGTTGAATAATTTCAGTTGTTAAAATGTAACCACATATATGTATATAAAAAAGGTCTCTAGAAGTGTTCAGACAAGGGAGGAGTACAAAGCACTCCCTTGCTTCAGACTTGTTTTTAAATCTGGTTTGAAAATTTCTTCACCAGACTTAGAGTGCATGTGGTTTTCATTGTGGGTGGAGGGGGTACAGGCTGACAAATAAGGAACCACACCCAAGCTTCATAAACCAGAGGTCTTTAAACAATTCTACTGATATCCTAAAAATATTTGGGTTTGCTTTGGTATCAGCAGAAACTTCCTCATAAAAAATAACATTGTAACAACATAGGTAGAGCTGAGTTCACTTTCTTGAATTTGTTATTACTTACAATTTTGGCACTTCATGAATAAAAATGTTTGAGGTAGAGCCTTGATTTTGAATCTCTTTGCTCTGAAAGGATTATTCTTTACATGATTTTCCCCTGAATATCTTTTAATAAAATTGCTTAATGTTAAGCCTTTTGTCTTAGTAATAATAAGTGTTTGCTCGTTCCTTAATAGCCCTAATCTATGAGAAAATTTAAAAAGCTGCTAAGTATTAAGGGGAGAACCTTAAGGAAACTTTCATAAAGTGTACTATCTTTGAAAATGGCCCCTGGCCCCTCCTGATTTTTACTCAGCTTTATATTGGGATGAAAGGACAGACTTAAAGGCAGGTCATGTTGGAGGAAGGCATGATAAGGATAAAATATTGAGCATTATTGCCAATGCTGGAGCAAGTCTAGATTGGTGAATGGTCTGACCAACTGTAACAGTATGGGCTGGCAAAAATATTTGGGGGAAAATGAGATTTAAATCTATGAAAAAATGTTTTATAAGCTATTTAAACCTTGTTGGTATCAGTTTTCTCATATGTAAAACGAGGAAGTCAGGGTATTTTGTTTTTAAGATATCTTCCATCACCAAAATTATGATTCAGGTTTTTTCTTTGTAACATTGTTTTTATCAGTTTTTTGTTTTAACTTGTAAATCCAAATAACATATATTTATCAAATACTGTAAGACATGTCAGAGTACATATATACCTGTAGATGAGCATTTTAGTTACAGATTTTTTTTTAACTCTAGAAATGGTATAAATTTAAAAGTTATTGGTAATTTGGGGCATCTGGCTGGCTCAGTCAGTAGAGCATGCAGCTCTTGATCTTGGGTTTGTAAGTTCGAGCCCCACATTGGGTGGAGAGATTACTTAAAAATAAAATCTTTAAAAGTTATTGGTGGGGCGCCTCGGTGGCTCAGTTGGTTAAGCGACTGCCTTCAGCTCAGGTCATGATCCTGGAGTCCCTGGATCGAGTC